CCCTCGTCCTGGTATGTCCACCGAGTCGCCTCTTTTCTTAATTTCCACCGTCACAGCCACAGCGTTTTAAAGAATGCCTGGGTGCACTGAATCTGGATACCATCCACCTATTAGTTTCGCTAATATCCACCTGCCGACTGCACGCCCAGAACCGTTCAGCGCAAGAAAGTGGAGAAAGGAACTGTTTTTCGGTATCGGGAGATTTTATTTTCTAGAACACGCCATTTCCCAAAATCTCTCCCGAGGATTAGTGTTTGATCAGCTCTTGAACGGGTTTCCTAGGACAGGCCAGGTTCAGTGCTAACGGCTGCTTGACGCGCCTTGATAATCTTCTCACACGCTTCAAATGTTTTTGTACGACGCCGGGCTCGCTGTTGATTGACAGCACTCGTGCTCGTAGCGGTGTTTGTGAGACTAGTACGGGTGCGCTTGAATGGACGACAATCCTCACCATCTTCTTCAGTGCAAACCGATCTCTCATGCGGTGACTCATGTCGCCTCTTGTGATTAACTCACTCCAGCTCAGCATCGGTTCGAGCGGCCTGAACAAACTAAAGGATATAGTCTACCGAAAACCAAAACCAGGAGCAATATAGTAAGCAACACAATTATTCAAGCAACATACCGTGCGTACTTGCATTCTCGTCGCCATTGTCACTCATATTAGCGCCACCATCGCCGTCCCACCCGCAACCGTGTCGTCGTCACCATCTTGTGCCGAGGACACTGGCGTGCGGGCCTCTGCCGTGTCAGTGGTCGTTACGCCTGCGTCCACAGGAGTATCCGTCACTTCGGCAAACAGACGACCATATTGTAAGCACTAAAACTTAATCATTTATCGCCATTAACAAATACATGCCCATGTTATCTGCGACATCATCCTCATCCTCATTCACCGTGCCAGGCATGACCGCGGCCGCGCCTTCTTCTATTTCCACACCCGACACACGAGAATCGATATCATTTGTAACTCGTTCTCACCAACGTCTGCATCCTTCTTATACGTAGCCTCGCTCTTTTCACCCGCACTCCCTATCGCACCCTCTTCATTCGTTGCTGCGCCCTTCGCGTCCTTCTGGTTCGTGGTCGCGGTGACTCTAGAGTAATCAGGCTTGGTAATGTCGTCATCGCTGATTTCGTCTTTGAGGCTTTTCATGTCTTCCTCCGCATTCGCCACGTCATCCTTCGTCAGAAAGGAGTCATCAACGTAGTCGTCGTCGCTGGAAGAATCCCGAGAAACCCTTGAACAGACCGAACATAATCCACAGTTTTCCTCTCTCGCAACCAGCGCCCTAATTAGACGCTCCACAACAAAATCGGCTCGTTCGTGTGTTAGCGCAGCTCCTCGGGCTACTCTACCACACGCAGCCTACCCTTAGCATTCGTGCGCGCATGGCTTCCCGCATTCCTGGCTTCGACATTTAGCTGTTCTATTTTCACATGAAATGTGAGGCTGCGTGCGTTTCAAATTGTGAACGAGCAAAAAAAGAGATTTTAAGAGAATGCGTAAGTGTTGGCCTTGGAAATTTTGAGTAAAATTAAAAAACTAACAGTCTTACCCAGCCAAACACATTGGGGGGGGGTTTTTTTCCACTCAAGAGAGAAGTATTCGTCTTGTAGGAAGCGGGATGTGGTAACGACTCTGAGTAGCGTTTTTACAAGCTGAATAGGTGGAGGACCGTTTTGTAAGGTACGATATCTATTTTTTGTATCCATTACGTTACAGTATGGGCAAAACGCAGTTAAAATAAAATACGTGCCAGCAGTACCAAACTTGTCGTTGTCCATAGCTTATTTTCAACCAATGAAACAACCGCATTCATCGCTTTGACCAATTGGGCTAGAGATACAGTATCCCCGGCTATCTTTATTAAAAACACACGTGTACGGCGAATAGCTGCTCATGAATGGTCGTTATCTTCGAGCTTCGCTTTTTCGTTGGACTCGAATCTCTTGGTTTTCTCGTTCAGGAACAGAAATTTCAAATCTGAGCCTAGCTTCAGCCGAAAGAGATGCATCATGGAACCATGAATACTCTATTCTTGCGTCGATCAAGACGGACGCTGAGAGTGCCCAGGGCTCGGAAGAATAAAGGCGTTTTGACTTGGCAAGGTGGATTTATTTAGACAGTGACGTTCAGCGGAGTAGCATGGATCTGAACTCTCCAATCATCCAACATCATCTTGCAACCGTCTGTGATCTCCATTGTCCCACGAAAGTTCGAGATCCACTGTATCCCTCATTCCTGTATCCTGGATCCAGGTCGTCCTATGCGGGATCCTCCCTCCTTGGATCCGAACTCGGAAGTATGGGATCCGGGACACCTCGCGGTGGATCTTGACTTCTCGTTAGCCGTGGTTACTAGATCCACCTTCAGCTGACACCTACCATCATTCCTTCATAGGATCCTCACTCGATCCACCCGTACATAGCATATCCAATATCCACCTAAGTGGATCCAGGTAAGGGTGGATCCGAGATAGGTCTTGGTGGATCTTGCCTTCCCGTACATAGCTCATACCAGATCCACCGTCATTTCATACGGGGTGCTGCTCGTCATGGCTAATCCACCACAGGCAACTTGCATCCGCGCCGGGCGATCCAAATCCTCTCTAATCACTTGAAATTGTCACTGATTCGGGATAGTGACCCCGCGTCAGGCCCATTCTCTTATTTCTGAGAAAGCACTTCACCACAATCGCCTCCTGTACGTTGTCGGCGCTGCACAACAGCGTTCACGGCGTGCATTACCAGCATCCACACCCGCTTCCTCTTCTTCGTGACACATGTCTCCCACCAAGCGTACCAGCAAATCGCCGGGCAAGGCCCCATCCACCACTCCTCCGGTCAGCCCTTCTTCAATGTCATCCACCGATCTACGTACTCTAGCCCAGGCTCTTTCCGATCGGGTGCAAGCCTTGACGGCGGAGCTCCAGACGGCCCAAGATGCTAGAGACCAAGCTCAGCGAGGCGGCTGCTCAGCAGACTTATCAGTCGCTATCCGCGTCTTCGCACGCCACTCAACTCCAAACTTTGCGAGCCCAGGTCCATGACCAGGCTATGGAGATCCAAGGGTGGGAGCACCGTGCGTCCTCCTCGTTCACAGGGATTTGCGACTCTTGCTGCCGATCAAGCGTCGAGATCCGCGACTTGACCGGAC